CTATATTTATTTTGTGATTTATCGGTGACATTTTTCCAGTGGTTACAGGGATAAAATGTGTCCGTCGAGAACAAGAAATCTATCGTAGCTCAAGTGTTCGGGAGGTGGTTATATGGATAAAATGTGTTTTTGTGTAGGGTTGAACGTGCGTATATATAGAACACCCCATGCTTGACTCCCTACTTCCAATTTGAGTAGTAGGGGTCAAAAAAATCAGCTCAAGCAGACCCCTTACTACACCCCTACTTCTGTTGGTCCGTATTTTTCCCCCTTCCCCCTATACTTTTGTTGGCCCCTACTTCATTCCTCCTATTTTTTTCTCTCGCAACAGCATCCGTGGATACTTCCCGTGACTCCAGCTGCAGGTGCGGCTGCTTCACGAGCCTCGATGCACCTCCGACGACCTCCCTGACCTCCACAAAGATCTCCCGGACCGCCTAAGCCTCCCTAGCGCATTCTCTCCGACGTGGCTCCCGGGTGGGATCACCACGAGTGCTCCTCCTCCACAGGCGGCGCGCGGCTGCCCCTCTGCGATGGTGCTCTACTCGGTGCTCGCCTTCTTCCCCGGTGCTCTCTACCCTGCCCTGTTTAGAGAGGATGACACGTTGGACCCATGTGTCATTCTCTAGGAGGATGGTTTTGGGTAGCATGTTTTAGGCAGGCCATGGCCCCCCTAACAATACATTTTTTTAATATATAATATATAGTAAATAGTCTATGTTTATATTAAAAGTGTATAATAAAGAAAATCTTTTTATAATGTTTATTGATATCTTTTAGACAATAAAATCACATAGAATAATTAGAATAAAATATTTTGATTTATCTAATTTTGTTTGCCTACCATATTAGGATATATCTATTAAATTTTTGGGTTTAATAAAATACTTATGTTTCATTATACTTCATATTTTATTGAACGTGTATTTAACTATCAATAACAATTCGGTGACCATCACTTTTACTGTGAATCACTGTATAAATGTAGACGTTCACGTATATGCACGTACACACGCTCCTATGATCAAACACATGTCCTACTTCACTATGAGCACTTTTGAAACACTAAGCTAGGTAGATTTAAACATTCATGAGTAATCATATGTGCCATGTTATCGACGGACACGGTCACGTACCAAAGGTATGAGCACTTCCGTAATACTAAGCCGGTAGATTTCAAATTCATGAGTCATCACATGCGCCCCGCTATCGATATACGCGGTCATCTACTACGTGAAGAATAGCGAGCATTGTTAAATTATCAAATATTAGAATAAATCTACAAAAATAGGAGCCTAACCCCGAGACAAAAATCTAAACAAATAAGGTACACTCAATTGTCATATTTTGAAATTCTTCGACCGGCCCCCTTATGTATAATCCCTGGCTCACTACTGGTGCTGTTGGAGCAAACAAGAAAAAAATGAGTACTTCCTTTGTCCAGAAAAGAATGCGACTACGGGTTACGTGCCAGAAAAGTGATTTACGTTTGACCAAATTTCTAGTGAATAGGATTCACATTTACGGCTCCAAAATAATTTATTATGAAAATACATTTCGTAATTAATCTAATAATTTTTATTTGATATTATAAATATTGATATTTTTTATCTATAATTGATTGAACTTAGGATATTAAACCATAATACTGTGCTAAAATTGCATCCTTTTCTGGACGGGGGAAGTAGATTTGGGTAACATTGGCGGAGATGCTCTAAGTCTGCTTACGCACTGTATGCACGCACGCATGCTTAGATCGGTGATCCTGTCCTCCACAGAAGATCCCGCGGGTTACCGGTGTGAGAGGCCACAGCAGAAAGATCAAAGAATTAGGCTGATTGCCTGATTCATCGGTGACACAAACTGCAACAGGAAACCAAACCGGGCGTGCGGGACCTAAATCGATCATCAGCCACCAGGCCGTGTCGGCAACGCACAACACAACACCCCTCTCGCCTTGAACTGGTTTGTTTTAGGCCATCAGGCCGCTGCATGCAGTTAATTAAGCTTTTGATTGGGAAACAAACACAAATGACACAACCTAACACAAAGCCATTTCTTAAACAAAAAGCTTTATGCACTCGTAATGCGTGCAAGTGCAAGCCTTTAGGTTGCTGCATGATGTGTGCAGTTGCTGCCGGTCCAGATCATCTGCCGCATGGTGGAGGCCCATCCTTTGATTGCGGTCATGTCATAATCTAACATACACTGTTCCATTGCTTTGTGATTGTAAATTTGCGACCTGAGAAACCCAACTGCCCTTTTATTACTTCACACTGTCCCTTTTTCGTTCTTACCCCGCCCCGAGAAGCAAAAGACAAGACGGGACGATGTTCAAAAGCTGGTGATTAAAAACGCAGTGGTTTTCGCGGGATTGCTCTCGAGCCTACTACATGAGCAGCTCGCTGATTAGGAAAAGAACAGTAAGAGAGCTCTTCAATGTTTGAAACGGTAACGAAGAAAATCGACCTTATCTCATCCAAAAAAAAGGAAAGAAAATCGACTTTGTGTGTCCTATTATTGTCAACTCCACATGACCACATGCAAGTTTAATACGTCGAGCTCCACCTCATAGCGGGATCACTACTTTACTAGTGGGGCCTTGCTCGGATCGGAGGCTCGGAGCTTATTTACGCACACTTCACAGAAAAAAAGGAAATGCGGAGCTGAATGCGTTTCGCGTGTGCAGCCACATTGATCATCGGACGAGTCATGGTAAGAATGAAAGCTTATCCATTCCTTCAACCCAGCAGGGCAAGACACTAAGAACCGGTCTGCCGTGTGCGTAACATCTGCCACACTTGTCAAACTTTGGGATATAATCAAAGAGGATATCATGGCGGAGGCGGTGGTAAATTACTTCTATCATCAACATGTGACCACCTTCTCGGCTTTTGTAAATTGAGCTAGAAGCAAATGGTTCAAACATGGATGAGGATTGTGACAAGGAGACCCTCTTTCACCTCTACTCTTTGTGATTGCAATTGACTCTTTGCACAAACTTTTTGATCTAACAACTCAGGAAAGTTTGCTCAGCTAGCCCTGTTCATCATAGATCAACCAAACTTAGAGTGAGTCTGTACACTAATGATGCAACGATTTTCCTAAAAATCCGATCAGAGAAGAAGTAGACATATCCTTGCATTTTCCTCAAGGCTTTCAGATACTGCTATTCAAATTTAGTGTATTTTCCTAAAAACTAGTTTTCTTTTTGTGTATTTTTTCAGATACTGCTATTGAAATTTAGCACACACTATATTCCAGCTAAACGGATCGCTGTATCTAATGACGCTCTGTGTTCATCTGAGATGCGCTGCATGCATGGACCAATTTGTCAGCATACACACGATCCTTTCAGCACCGACACTAATAAAGTATACTAACACTATGTGCATCCACGTTTTCCCTATACTATATCCAAATCCTTATCCATTCATTCAGGTATTCAACGGTAGCAAAAGAGACATTCGACGGGCGCTCGAGTCCATATACTCCCACTGCCCCATTTCGCGCCCTTTTCCTGGCGCCACGACCTTTCGCCGCAACAGCTTTAGCTTGGGCTTGAATGCAGAGCCAAATCGAAGATATCCTCCCATTTTGACCTTCTGAAACCCCAACCACCACGAATTCCGATCGGTCTCGACAGCACAATCCAAAAAGCGAAACATAAACAATCCAAATCGGACGACCTAGCTGGCGTACACGCGGGATCGCATCACCGCTGACAACGCAAGCTAAAAGCTAGCCTCTCAACTTGTCAAGAAGTCTCGAGCACGCACGAGGAGCTTTGAATCAGCCTGCAGATCCAGCGCATGGAACTGCTGTGACTGAGCTCACGATTTTATGACAGAATATGACAGGGCAGCCAGGGCGAGCGAGCGACCGAGCTGTGCGCCTGTGCCTGGCCCGGCAGGCGGCTGGCTCGATCGCCACCGCCCACCGGCGACGGCGGCCAGACCAACCCACGATCGGATCGGTGCTGGCTGTCAATCTGGTGATCGGCGGATGGATTTTCGCTCGCGGATATGACTCGGCGCCGAGTCGGACGCGACGCTGACTCAGAGCCGCGGTGGGCGCCGAGAAAAAGCAGGGCACCAAAGGGGAAAAAGCAAAGGAACACCACTGCACGACCCCCCGGCTGCCTCTAGTTTAGTGCTGTGTTGCAAGTGACCGAACGTGTGACGGTGTCTTCCATACACGCGGAAGCGGGAGAACCTTCTCCGTGGTCATCCAGAAGCAAAGGATCCTGCCGCTCTCAATGGATCCTTCTACCTGTTTCCACGTCATTCCCGGCGTCAAATGAGCTCCTGCAACGTACGTGCAAATTTTATGGGTGCCATGGTGCAGTGTGGATTTCATCTCATCTCTTCCTGGCTTTTCTTTACCTTGAACAATTAAGTTTTTTTGTCCCAAACATATGAAGGTACTAGTAGTGGTCTGATTTTCCTTTTGGCAATTCAGAACCATGCCATTGAGTTTTTTTAGGACAAATCATGCCGCCCGAACCGCATGCATGCACAAGCACGTAACGGGTTGGGTGGATATATGAATACATACCACGGCCTGCATGCGTGGATGCCACTCATGGCACATGAACACATAGCAGCAGAGGGCCCCTTGCACATGCAGGAGAGCGGCATTAGGTAGGGGTCCAACTGCACCTTGGGAAATCTTCTTTTATCCTCGACTCCTCATGGGGGATGATGACTGTTCCATTCAAAAGCGATTTTGATCGTTGTGAACAGCAAAAAAAAAAAAAAATGACAAGGTTCACAGCTTATAAAAGACACACTCCTCTTCCCATTTGGAGCACGGAGCTCGAGCATCAACAACAACCCACCACGCACATCAACAAGCCACACCCACCCACCGCTCTCACCAGCTTAGCAACCCCCACCTCGATCGCACAGAGGCCGGCCGGAAGCTCAGCCGCGAATTCGGCAAGCAACAAGGAGAAGTCTTCGGTTCCTCGCCGCCTCGGTCAAGGTCCAAGAAGAGAGATGGAGAAGGCAGGGCACGAGCATGTGATCGGCATCCCGGTTAACAACAGGGCGTTCGGCATTGAGGAGCCGGATTTCCCCAGCAATGGCGCCGCCAAGAGCGCAACCGCCGCGGGCGGACGGGCTGCAAAGTTCGGCCGGACCGGGGACAGGGTCGCCCAAGGCCTGAAAGAACATGGTAAGTTCTTCTCCGATCCAACCAAATCACGGATGAATTCCTCTTTCCTGTCCATGAATTCATCTCTTTGTATATATCTTGATACTGAACGTGGTGTTGCTCGATGATACTTGCAGTGACTCTGGGGCCAAAGCTGTACGAGACCGTGAAGGGCAAGCTGTCGCTGGGGGCAAGGATCCTGCAGGCCGGCGGCGTGGAGAAGGTGTTCCGGCGGTGGTTCTCCGCCGACAAGGGCGAGAAGCTCCTCAGGGCCTCGCAGTGCTACCTGTCGACCACGGCCGGGCCGATCGCCGGCATGCTCTTCGTGTCCACGGAGCGGATCGCGTTCCGGAGCGACCGCTCGCTGGCCCTGACTTCTCCCAACGGCGATACGACGGTGCGGGTGCCGTACAAGGTGGCCATCCCGCTGAGGAGGGTCAAGACGGCCAAGCCCAGCGAGAACAAGGACCGGCCGGAGCAGAAGTACGTGCAGGTCGTCACGGACGATGGCTTCGAGTTCTGGTTCATGGGCTTCGTCAGGTACCAGGTGTCCCTGCAGGAGCTGGAGAAGGCCATCGCCGCGCAGTCGTCGCAATGACCTGACGCGAAGGAACGAACGTGCGGGGTCGTCCGTCGGCTCCAGTGTTCGGCCGGCCGGGCGTTGTGCTTGTGGTCTGGTACTCTTGGTTCGTCTGTGTGCATATGTAGTAGGGTTCAGTGTTCTTGATGGATTGCTTGACGTAATTGGTGATGTTGAGTAAATCTGGTCCACGGTAAAAGTCATATGAGGTTTACATATGGAATGAAAAACACGAAGTGTTTGCGCAACACCTAGATTGTGATGAGCTGAATTCTGATCCAATCCTTTTACTCTGTGGCAATCGTACTGATTCTACTTGTCCGTTTGCTGTTTTGCATATCAAATGCCAATTCCTATTTGTTACCGTACCCTGACTAAATGAAACAATCGTGGCGTGGACAGCAATTACGAGTGAGGTTCTAATAACTCATATAAGTGCCCTTTCAAGATTACCATGGAGATACAATAGAAGAAGGAAAAACTAAAATATCAGCTTACGGCTTGTTTGGATACTTTTTTTTTTCGAGGACTATGTTCTTTGACTTGGCATTCTAGAACTTTCTAAAGTTTAGATATAAGCCTACCTTAAATTATGAGGTGAGAGATAGAAATAGATTATGTAGATACATATGCTATGTTTTTGCTCTGCAACTTATACCATTTTTTAGCTCACTCACCTGTAGCTGCAACAGAAGTGCAACACATAAGCTTCTCATCCATATGGCGAACAATAGCATACAAATATGTTTCGTACGTGGCCATGTTAACTTAAATGATCTTTATTTAAACTGTGATTATTAGAATTTCAATTTCAAGGGTCTAAACCAGGATTTCCTTTATTTATTTGTCTTTGTTTTCCCCCAAATGCAATGATCGCATATGTTGCACAAAAGCTTAGGAGCTCATGCATTCCATAAACAAATGCTAAAACAGTGAAACATGGAAAAGCATTGAAAGAACAGTTTCGAACTATTGCCCAATTATATCAATAAAATTCCACCAGTGGAAGCAAAAAAAAAAATCTGAATATTTCATCAGTGAGAAGCAAAAATTAAAATAGCAGTCAACTCCAACGTGCGGGATGCCAGAATGAACATCTCCTTCTATTTTTCACTTTCCTGCAACGGAGCCCAAAAGACCATATATCTTGATAGAGTTAATGAACATAAGAAAAGGTTATAAAATCATCGAGGGTGTACATGTACGTGCTATTTAACTAGCTGCCTAGTTCTTCTTCGTTTGTTTTTTCCCCTACGAAACCACAATTAATATATTAGGCTAGAAAAACTAAGGGGGTGTTTGATCCAGCGACTAAAATTTAGAAGGTGTGTCGGGAGGATGTTGCATGGGGTGTTCTTTCCCTAAAAAATCAAATTACATAATCCGGCTAGAAAAACTAACATGATGTTTAGCAATTAACCTATCATTAACACATATTTACTGGAGAAATCTGAATTAGACTTAAAAGATTCGTCTCATATTAATTAAGTAAACTATGCAATTAGAAAAATAGTTTATATTTAATACTCCAAAATGCATGTGTAATAAACATCCGATCATATGCTAGAACTGAAAGTATGAAAAAAGCATCATATGCTAGTAAAGAGATGAACAGTATATTCAGTTCATTCATTGACGGAGGATCAAATAATTTGCAGGTTGCAGGCGGCGCCCTGTCCCAGTGTCCCATATAAACCACCGCGATCTTGCAGGTGTAACTTACAACACTGAAGAACAATATAGGATTAAGTTTCATGAGGCATTACAAGAATATTTTGTTGGCAGATGATTAGATTTGATTCGACGAGAAGTATAACAGGTGCTTTTGTTTTTCTTTGATGTACTACTTTTTAGCGTTCTGTCGATCGCTAGTAGAAAGTGAACCTGAGAGAACCTAATCAATAACGCATCGACAACGCAATGCCAGGCCTTAACGGCGAAGCACCAGCTATGTTAATTGGCAAGTGGGCATAAAGAAATGCGATGATCGATTCCACTTTGCATGCATAAGCCTTTGTTGTGGGTTCACTGATTTCCGGTTCGTTTTCATCCTATATTGGAACTGGTTGGTGCGTGCCAGTGTTCTACTTTTGGAATCCTGAAATACTACTGGCAGTTGCTGTATCATTTGGTATAAACGTAGTACTTTTATGTTTCAGGTCCTTCAACATCCGAATATTTTTGCGTTTTTGAACCAAATAATTGAAAGTCACATTGCGTTAGTTTTTCCAGGAATCAAGCTACACTTTCCAGGAACCAAATAATACTACTTGTAATACTGAGGACCGAACAACGCTGTTTTTTTTTTTTAAAAAAAAAAGAGATCCGTGGACATCGCACGCGCTAGTGCCATTCCTCCCTCCCTTCTTGGAAGGACGGCATGGTCGGCCACGGCCACTCCACCAGAAAACGATTCGGTTCCAGGCGTCGAGTCGGCAACATCTCCCGTCCGTCTCTGCATCGACACGTATGGCACGGCGGGGGATACGCCGATGGCGACGCTGAAACGAGAGGAGAGGCGCCCACTCCCCGGTCCCCCAGATCCGCTTCTGATACTCAATTTCGGAGCGGGTGCCTGCACGTCTGACAACGCAGCAACGCACTGTGCACAGAGCCACGGGCGGCCCACGGAGGGGACGCGCGCGCGGCGCGCCATCCCTCCGCGGCGTCCAGGAACGGCAAAGCTGCCGGCCTCCCGTCGCAACGGCCCTTCCGGTTGCCGGGTTTATTGCGGTGCGGTGGACAACAGGACAAGGACGGCGCAGCAGCTGCCATGGGTCATGGGCCATGCGCATGCCAACAGTGCCCGGACGGTTACGTGATTACGTCGGTAGGTGAGGGCGGTCGCGGTTCGTCCGACTCGGCGCCGCGTGGGAGGTGACCAGGACGCCGGGCCGGGGGAGCAGGCAGGCGCGCGTGGTGACTTCGACGGTGAGGGAAGCTGTTTGTTGGTTGCCTTGCCGGGATCCTGTTTTTCCTCTGCAAAGCTGGCCGTTTTACACGTTGGGCTGGCCCCTACTACCTCCGTCCACATCACAGCCGGGGTCCTCCGTCCTCCTGCCTGCCGATCGCTTGCGGACGCGATCCTGGGAACAGTGTTTGTGGCCCTCCACAGTCCCCATCCCCTGTGGCCCTGTGTATGTTTAGACATCAGTATCACTCTCGGTTCGATAGGCAGCAGCAGAGCAGCGCATGTTACCTTACCCCTAATATCGTCCCGGTGCAATGCCTGAACCGCCGAACGATCGATCCCTGCTCTAAATAAGCCTCTAAACAAAACACCAGTGGTCCCGTGAACTTAAAGCGAGGCCTCGGCCGCTCAGCGCATCGGGCCCCTTGCTCCCCCCGACACCACGCCTCCCCTTTTTTCTCTCACGTAGTAGTAGCCCGGTGCGAGCGAGAATGTGCAGGCACATGGGGCGCTTCTCGGAAAGCGGCCGGCAGCGACGGCGAGCCCCACACCGGGCTCCGGATCCCATAGAGAAATCCAGAATCATTTGCCGTGGCGCGATGAATATGCCGCACCTGGCCTCCACATGGCCGGGCGCTCGGCGGTCTCTGCATTTCTAGGCGCCGGTGGCCGCGCAGTCGAGCAGTTTTTAGGTAGCTGCAACCAGTAAATAGGCGTCACGGGGTCTACGCCTGCTTTAGGCGAAACGTAGACTGCGCCTTTCTGAGCCGCTGGTGACTCGGCCGGTCCGGCTGCTGACTCCCCAAATCCACTGCCTTTGCCCAAAGCCGCGAGGCCCAAAGGATGTTCCACCACCGCGGCGCGCCTATAAATGCCGCCCTCGGCAGCTGCACTCCTGTACCAATCCGCGATTCCTTACACGCTAAGGCACCATCGGCGCCAGCCAACGAGACCAGCCTGCTAGCTAGCTCTCTGCTCGCTCGTCCGCTGAGCTCGTGTCCACAAGCTAGCACTACTAGCCGCCATGAGGAAGTCGAGCAGCCACCATGTCATCGGCGTCCCGGTCACCTCCAAGGCGTATGGGATAGAGGAGGTGTCGTCCAGGGATCCGTCCTTCAGGAAGGGCGACGCCGGCGATCACCTTGCTGTCTCGTTGACGCACCCCAGCCCTTATGCGTCTTTCGGCTACAAGCACAGTAAGCCTACCTTGATCGTCATCTCGTACACCATATATTATATATAAGAATTAATAACTTCAGGACATGTGTTCTACTCTGCTAATAACTAGACACTTGAAAGTTTACTGACGTGCGTGCTGTGTATGTGCTTCTTCTGCAGGCAGCAAGGGTCAGGTGATCCACTGGGTGAGCAAGCTGGGCAGGAGGGCGCAAGGCTTCAGAGAGCACGTGACCCTGGGGCCGAAGCTGTCGGAGACGGTGAAGGGGAAGCTGAGCCTGGGCGCGCGGATCCTGCAGGCCGGCGGCGTCGAGCGCGTGTTCCGGCAGGTCTTCTCCGCCGACAAGGGCGAGCGGCTGGTGAAGGCGCTGCAGTGCTACATCTACACCACCGGCGGGCCCATCGCCGGGATGCTCTTCGTCTCCACCAAGAAGGTCGCCTTCCGCAGCGACCGCCCCATCACCGTCACCTCCCCGAGGGGCGGCGACACGGCGCGGGTCACCTACAAGGTGGTGGTCCCGCTCCGGCGGATCGACAAGGTGCGGCCCACCGAGAACGTCGACCGGCCGGAGGAGAAGTACATCCACGTCGCCACCGTGGACGGCTTCGAGTTCTGGTTCATGGGCTTCGTCAGCTACCAGAGGTCCTGCAAGTACATGCAGCAGGCCGTCTCGGAGCTGCAATGACCGCGCGGTCCAGGGCCTGCAGGTCGATGAGGAGGTCCGGTGGCTAGGCTGCCCGGTCGGCACGATGTGAAGAGAGGATGTTATGGGCTGCTTCGCCATCTTTTGTCGCGAAGTAGCCGTAGCTAGGATTGCCCTATCTAAGATCGGTGCAATTGTGTTCCTTCCGCGTACGATGTTGGACCAACACCTGTGTTGTTCCAAAGTGGTTGCTTTGGACTAGTAAATGGACCAACAAATTAACCATT